ACATTCTGTGATTCTGTGATTCTGTGAACCTGAAACAACTCATTAGATTCAGGTAAAACCCTAAGATTAAGTTTAAAGTAAGGAGGTATAACTTTCTTCATCAGTGATCTGAAAGAACAACTGTATCCTACTAGGAAAAGGCTTCTCTTGCTTTGTATTTGTTCCGTCTGCTCATACTAAAGTCCCAGTCCCAGTACAGAAATATCTTAATCCCGAACAGTCACTTATATATTGGCAATGACAACAAAGAAAATGGAGCAAATAAATGTGAAAACTGAATTGTACTCTCACATGGAAACACAGAATGGGAAAAAATATACCTTTGATTTCATTAGAGAATACTAAAGTCATAAAACCCCATGAAAAAAGAAATTAAATAAAGCAAGCACTTCCCCCAAAACTCCAAACCCCAGGCCTGAAAGGTATGAAAAATTAAGAACAAATTAATTATATTTAGTACGTATGAATTAATCTAGTTACATTGAGACATTAATCTGATTTTGAAATTAAGCATAAACTATTTCCCAGTCAAAAATGAATGTAGTCAGTAGGGTTCTTTAGAAAAAGCAGAAACATAATGATTAAGAATAATCAGCTGAAGTCTCTCAGTATCTTTAAAACAAATGAGAGAAAAAAAATGCAAGTTTTGACATTTGAGTTATTTTAGTCAGATTTCAAATTTCCCAAGATTAACAATCCAAACAATTTGCCTTACGTCAGGAAATAAAAAAATGCCTAGAATCACAAGATCAACTATAAACGATGAATGCAATAAATCTGTTTTCATGCAGTGAAATAAAACCAGAATAGATTTAATATCACACATTTTAAGCTACAAAATTTAAACTCTTATTTTAACTACTTCATATCTAAATGCTTTTGTTCGTGTTTTAAGAGACTGTATTAATGGTTTTATTAAACAAGCCTTGAAACCACCATTAAACATTCCTCTGGAAGGAAACAAAACCATTTAAAGAACAACGCATAAACTTACCTTGTAAAATAGAAGAATAAAGTTGATGGCAAATGCAACAAATAGAGCAAGAAACCTTAAGTTATAAAAATTTCTTGCCAAGTAGTGCTGAAAGTAAAAAAAAAATATTAAAAAATAATTAGAGGTGGCCTGTAACTGATATCAAGATAAGAAAAGTAAGCAGCAAGGTTTCTAAGATGGTAAATACATAATTGTGTTGCCTTCATGCACCAGTTATAATGAGAAAGGGCATTTCTTGACAGCCTATTCTGCCATTTTGGGGTAAACAGGATTAAAAATAGTGGGGTTAAAATTGCAACAGAGAAGATCGTAATACAATATTAAGGAAACTTTCTAGAAGGAATTCTGGAAAAGAATTGCTAGAATATTGGAATAAACTTCTTGAGAAGGTTTCAAAGAGTTCATAATTTGATGTTTTTAAGAACAAATTAAAATCTTATGGAAAATAGAATTACAGATTCTAGAAGTGAGATTATGGAAAACAGGGAGCCTCTAACAGGGAGTTAAAGAGGTTAATCTGTCCTGTTAGACCGAAATAGGAGAAATTCTACACACAAACACTTTATTTATATAAATCTATGAAGTATTAAAAAAAAATCACAAAAGACAATACAGCCAGTCACTAGAAAACTCATGCCAGCTCATGTTATCCTTTTATGATGACATTTCTCCTTTCAAAATAAAAAAAATAGTACAGAAATAAAAATTCAATGACTAATACAATGTAAGAAAAACTTACAAGCATTTTTGTTTGATAGATTTCCAAAGCTTTGAAGAAGTTAGCCATAACAGCCTCTGGTTTCTCAATTTTTTGTCCATGCCTTCTCTTCTTTTTCTTTATTTTTTCCTCCTCTAGCTGCTCAGATTGTACTTCCTTTGCTTTATCTTGTTTCTCACCATCTTCCATGCTAGAAGAAAGGTTATCTAAACAAAAATACCTAGCCAAACTTCTGTATTGTAAATGCATTCATTTAGAAGGAATTCTAATTCAGAAAGTTTGGCATTGAAAGTTAGTTTTGACACTGGGAGAAAAATGATTGTAAGTAAAAGACTCGAGGTAGGCAGTAAATCCAGATTAAAAAAAAGTGACCTTAGTTTCAAATGATGTCCAAGAATAGAGTCATCGAGGGGACATCAAAAGGGTAAAAAGCCAAAAACCAGGCAGAAGTTACTGCACAAAATGTGAAGAGGATAATGTTTGCCAAAACCAGTGACGTATGTGCATATTCAATACGAGCAACATAAAAATGTTAAAAGTTCACATGTACTTTCTTGAGCCTGGGGCTGAAGAAGGGAAATAAAATTTTTGGGATTCGGTTCACAGTATCATAATTGAATCGCAGTATCATAAAATGAATTCATTTCAGTCAAGGCAGTCACTGTTGTTACAGAGATGAATAATAACCAGGAAGTTCGCTTCAGAGGGTTGAATCTTACAAAGTACGTAGAAGATGGCAATCATTCCTCCTGCACCACTGAACTGCCTTTATGAAAATTAATGTATGTAGTAATATGGGAATTTAGTTACTGAACTCAAAAAGAAGCTGTACATGTAAAAGAATGTTGAGGCCTCGAGGTGGTTGAAAGTTTTAGGCATGACAATAAAGAAGTGTGGTTCACTTTATCACACTACTACTACAGTAGGAATCATACGATGGATATCTAAGAATGTGTTTATCTTCTATCAGAAAATGTCCCTGTTGCAGCCTCAGAAATGTAAGCGATTTAAACTCAAATTTTTAAGCTGAAAGCAATTTCAGTGTGCTGTGAAAGTACTTGTGAGGAGAATTAAGCATGGCAGACAAGAGGAGACAACAGGGAATAGGGAAAATAAGTCCAATAAAATAATAAAGGTAGAAAAATATCATGCTTATGGAAAATAACAGGTGAAAAAAGCCTAAAATAAGAAAATGAGTGGCACAGGAGATTTTGGGTGGATTCTTAGATATTTTAAAATTGCTTCACTGAAGCACTGGTGAATATGCTACTAGTGTCTAAATCAGAAGACCAAAATCAGTCAACAAAGAAAAAAAGCCCAGCAGAGATATAATTTAACAAAACTTTTAAAAGGGGTCACTTGACCATTCGAAATATTGAGCAACTTAATGGCACATTGTAACATGGTCTAGACAAAACAACAGTTTCTGAAACTGCTTCTTTTCAAGTTACTGTATTCACACCAAGTAACACCTGTCAACAGGTTCTTTGGATACATGGTACCAAAAAAATCACAGAAGAATTTAAGTGCACTTTTTAATTACCGGATGTGCTCTAAACAATGAAAATAAAATGCTCAACATCCCTGCAGGGATTGAAGAGAGAGACTAATCATATCAAAACCATTCTGTGACAATAACATGCAAGAAGGGGACTTTTTAATTGAAGAAGTGTGTTAGACACAGCCTGAAAGGTAACTGATAGGAAATGAAAATATACTGAACTGTCATAGATAGTGTTGATAGTGTACTTTAATGAGGTAACAGGGGAAAAAAACACCAAACAACAACAAAGACATTTAAATGCACACAAGCGTAAGCATACGTATATGTGTATATATTCTTGTCCATGTAAGACACACGCGTATATACATATGCATGGATGCATACACACACACATATAAAATATACACAGAGGGGGAAAAAAAAGAATGCTTTTCAGATGAGCTACACAAAGTGTATCCAATCCTAAAATATTGAAAATGGCACATTTTAAAAAATTAACTTAGGTAGATAAAAGGAGAAAGATAAATGAGGCTGAAGTAAACATTTTAAACATGAAGCAAAATAGAAAAAAAAAGGAAAAAAAAAGATTTATAGCTTTTGAATATGTAAGAATCTCTAGGAGATCTTTTGCGTGTGCCTGCAAATATTTTAAGGGCATTCATCAGGCTGCAAGCCTACAATGTGACTGCAGGTCCAGAAAGACAGCGTGACCCTTCAAAGTAGGATGCTGCTAAAGCAAGGTAAGCATTTTAAAAGAGTTTTATAAGGCAGTCGTATGTATGATGACTGGACAAATGCATGTATCTGCTGTCAAGTTCACAATTTGAGAACAGATAAAACAGCAGTAATAAAAATGGTTGTGTTAGTCAAATCTTGTGTTTCAATGATGGACTACTGTTGCCTGAAAATTACAGTGGGTCATGGGGAAAGTGTCAATAGCAGTAATGACAAGTTGCAGAGCTTTTTTCAAGACCGGTACTCATTGATAAAGGTAGTTATGGGAATTTTGAAAAAGGCAATGGGCACAGATTTATATATGTGGAATTGCTGAGGGACACAAAAATCAGATTACCATTTTGGTGCCCACCGAGATGGTGTGCCACCTCTTAGGGACTGCATCACTTTTCAAAATCCCGACGAGACAAAGTGTACACAAAGTACTTTGAATACTGAGCATTGCTTGGATTCTTTCTGGCCAAATTACCTAACATTAGGAAGTAGCAAGGAATTAAACAGGAATTAAGTAAAAATAACTTACTCAGCCTTCTCAGCTTCTGCTTTTCTTTCTGATTCGGCTTTTGCAATATCAGAAATCTGCAGAAAGTATTTTAACTGTCAAAACGGATCCATTTAAATAAAATGTTAGTAACTTCAGTTACTCCTTTCTAACAAATGAATAAAATAATCGCCACACTATTCTTATACCACTTTGCACTTTTAAAAAGTTAGAATTTAAAAAATAGACAGATTTTAGCAGTGAAAACTACATTCTTCTGACAGCTTTTTTCAGTATACTGTTATCAATACTGTAACTAGCCCAGTTGATCGAACAATTTAAAGTAATTATACATGGTTATCAGACAGATTATGTGCCCAGCTGAGGATGAAGGTACCTACATCCAGAGCATGCCCTAATACAAGTCACTCACAAAGACTCAGTGCAGTTACTGATTTTGTGGAAAATGAGCATTGGTTTGCCTCATTCCAACTACGAAATGAGGAATGGTATATCATCTGAAAAAGATGTGTGCAATTATCAGATATCACAAAACCCAAGTATTTTGTCATGATCAACTGACTGAATTGAAAACAGACAAATATTTAAACAACTTTTACTTACGCAATATTTTCTTCAAACTATTTATCTTAGGTGGGTTGATGGTTCATTAAACCTTTACTGGCACACCTCACAACCATCTAAGTACGTGTTTACAACATTCCCTTGAGATAAGGAAAAACCAATATACAATTTTACAGATGGCTAACTGCAGCAAAGAACCTGGGCTGTGGATTTCAAACACCTTTAGGCTTAGTGTTGCAAGACCAAAGCAGACTAATTTCAAATGCAGTTTGAATATCTAAGCTTCACTGGAAATTAAAGAGATGCAGGCTCTGAAGTCCTAGATTCATTAAAAGAATCTAAAATGCCTAAATTTGTAACCATTCACTTTTGTAAAAACCTATCCGAACTCTTTACCCTCTTCTCTCAAAGTGCTTAGACACCAGTTGTTTATTGGTACATTGTCCTACATTTCTGGTTAAAACTCAAATACAGTTATCTAAACTTTCCCCCCCACTACTCACCTGGATGTCTATCTCTTGCACCTAAGTAGTGAAAGAATTTATGAAATAGTTTACTAAATTGATCTTGCCTTGCTTATCTCACCTCTTACCTGTGGAATATCATCTAGTACATGTGATGGAAGTGTGTGTAATGCTTCCACAAAGAGTCTTCCCCTAAGATCTCCTAAGCTGGTGGAGGGCAATTCTGAGATCATTTGATGAAGCCTAGTTCTTCTAAGGGGTAGGGTGGGGGAAGAATGAAGAAACCCCTATCCATCCTCTCCATCCCTATATCATATACTCAGTTTTCTCCACTCCATCCTGAAGAGCCTAAACCTACTTTATTCCATACACAAGATTTATTCCATATCAAGTGTTGATATCTTTTTGACCTTCACTGAACCTTTTTCAGTTTTATCACATTCATTTTGAAATGAGGGAGTCTGGTCTTCAAGACACTGATACTTTGGGTTTGTAGAGCACATAATATTCTGAGGTTTTCCTCTCTCTATTCCTCTCTCAACAATTCAAAATTTCAGTTTGCTTTTTTGATCTGTTACTTAACATTTTCATTGAACTGATACTTCTGTACAAATCTATTCCCAAGATTTCACACCCAAGATGTAACAATGAGCTCAAAATCCAACATCTTACATCTAAAATTATAACTTTTCCTCCCGTATGTATCACCTCACTGATTTTCATCAGCTATTTTAGGTCAACTTTACAGTTAGATCTTGACTTTACTGTCACAAATACCTTAGATTTATCAGCAAACTCTATTGGCTTACTACTCACTTTTCTTATTTGTGAACCCACATGGCTTTCAGCATAGACCCCTATGAAACTTCACAGAAAAAACTAAGTCCTAACTATCTTCATCACATACCATTCCATAGGCTATTTTCCCTATATGGTACTGTCATTAACCTTACCACTACACAATTACTTTTCCAGCATATGGAGGGGAAATTCTGTTTCTATCCATTTATGTAAGTTTTATTATCGTAAATGCTTAGGAAAGTCAGTGACTTCCTGAAGGGAATTTCTGATTCTTACATTACTGTTTATTCTTTGAGCTCTACTTAATATTTATATCTAGTGTGCTAATTGGATTACTTAAGCCATATACACAATGTGAATTGCAATTTCTGTAATATAAAATAAGTGTAAACATTATTTTGGTAACTTTCACTAGATAGCACATTAAAGGTAAAAGCTGGATAAATTGCACAGCTGTCTTCATGTTAATGACTCAAAGTGTCTGCATAAACTACTGAGCATTTTTATCAACAGTTACAAATAGATCTGAAATAAATGTATAAATCAAAGTAAAGCGAAGAAAGGTCTAAAATATTTACTCAGCCCTGAAGTAAAATATTTACTTCAATTGTTGTTGAAGAAAATTCAAAAATATTTACTCGGACCTGCTAAGATCTTTAAGTTAAAATAATAATTTTAAATACCAACCACATTACATTTATGCTAAATGAGACAGGATTTTAAAAGACTCTAATTTTAAAGTACACACCTAAAAATGTATTAATAAATAAGAAAAATAAATGGAAAAAAAATCATTTGATCTAAGCAATAAACAAATCTCCGAAAATAATATATGAATGAAGAGGAAATAATGAACTAAGAAGTTGTACAATGGAGGTTTATGTGGAAAATATGTGGAAAGTATAGCATAGAGAGGTGGACTAATCACAAAAAGAAAGATATATTTGAATAATAAGTAGAAACAGATCTGAAGTGCAGATTGAAACATAATACTTTCCAAATATGACAAATGCATTTGAGTTTTGACATTTAGTTCAATCCATTTTTAAAGAGAATGATAAATTATATTTAGCTCAGCTGAGTGGAACAGAAGATATTGTTCATAAAATGGAATAAAAGAAAGATTAGATCATAAACATTAAAGTCACAATGAAATCAGGCAAAAAATTGTTTCAAATTATAGGAAGAAATATATTCTATTGCATGTGATCAATCAAGCATATAGAAGACAGACGATACTGATAAGTCATTATTAAGGAGAAAGTACATTGTAGAAGTAATTGAAAGATACCATGGAAAAATGAGGTATGCAGAATAAAAAAGACTGTAAACCATTTAAATCAAAAACTCTGCCTAGAAAGCGGCTAGCAATTTTTGTTTTGAATAAAGCCCAAATGAACAGTAACAATTATTTACTGCAGTGAAATCTTAAAACACTGGGCTGAATTTTTCTTCTGTTTGTTTTTAAGAGAGCACAGATTATAAAGTATGTTTTTATTGAGAATATTTATTAATTAGCTAACTGGCAAATAATCCAGTTACTAATAGAAAATTTAGTAATATATTTGTAGTATTATTATTTTCTGCAAAGAAATAAGAAATCTCTTTAACATACCTGGAAGCCTTTTTTCTTACGAGCTGTGTTTTCCAAAGATGACTGGATGTCTGTACCAAGGATTTCTGCAATATCTCCAAGTCCAGCTTCATGACCATGTTTTGAGCCACCATCTTTCTTTGTATGAATACCAAAAATGTCTGAGATTATGTCAGCTTCTCCCTTTTCACCCTTCACAAACTGCACAAGTTCAGCTCTGATGCCATGCTCGGCACCTTCAGCTTTTTCTGCTTCCATAACATCATCGTGGATTCCAAACTGTGTCGGGTCAGGCATGTCCCCTAATATTTTAGTAACTTTAATGTTTTTGGCTCCTTCAACCAGGCCGCCTCCAAATACAGTGCTCCAAAGAAACTGGAAAATTCCCCACACCATGGAAAAGAACAGTTGGAACATCCCCACAAACAGAATCCAGAAAAAGGAGAATAACACTTTCACCATCTCTTTTACTGTCATCTTTCTAACTTTCCTGTATTGTTTCCTTAGGTTCTTCACAGTAATGATTTTTAAAAAGTTGGCAATATTCTTCTTCACTGCAACACAGGCCAATGCAAAAGCTGAAGCAGATTCCAGGGACTTTTCTTCTTCCTCATCACCCCCAATGTCCACAACGTAACAGGGCTCTGCCTCTTCCTCTTCCTCAGGCCTCTCAGATGAATCCATTTCAGAGATCTGAGATGCTAACTGCATTTCAAAGATCGTGTCTTCACAGAAATTCACAAAGAGTTCCATTTTTTCTTGCTCTCCACCTTCATTTACAACATCGAATATGAACTGCCTTTTGGATTCCTTCACCTGTGGCTTCTCCCACTGCATTCTACTGGATTCACTGATTTCAAAGTAAACTCTTTCTATTTTCTTGGCGCCACCCATTATTTCAATACGGCCAAGGTATGGTTCAAAGTAATTAAGAACACTTTCCGCAGGCTCAAGTAAGCTCTGAAGGCGTGAATCATTAGGCATGTGCTCTGAAAGGTTTGTTAGCAATACTGCTACGTTAAATCCAATATCTTTGGCTGGTTCATGGAATCTCTCCACAAAATCAACATAGTTAAACATATCATTTTCATCAGTTTCTGCACAGGAGAGCAGGAATTCAATCTCTGACTGTATGTACTGTTTTTGAGCTTCCATTGATTTCTGGAATTCCTTCTTTGAAATTATGCCTTTACCATCTGGGTCATGCTCTTTGAAAGCATCTGAGTTAGTCAGATCTTTTAACTTGAGGAACATGTCAAAGAACTTCAAAATCATTTCTACATTGCTAGATGATTCTACAAGCGTGTCTACCATTTGTTTTCCAATAGTTCCATTTACAACGTTACCTAAGTAGTGTGTTAAAACAGGAAGTTATTTGGCATCGCTACATTTTAAATTTCATATTAATGCTGTGAACAAAACAAAAATGTTCTTAAAACTTTGTAATTTTTCTTTCAACATGCTCTTCTGTAGCAGCCCTCTTTTTCATGCCTATGTATATTCCAGAATAATTGTTAAATAAATATGAAATAAGTTTCTTCCTGATATTACATAAAGGAAATTAAAAACAGTTTAGAAAGATTAACATAATTATTATACTTTACATTTTTAAGCTGAGACAATCATATTTGACCATAAGGAAAAAGAGGTCCAACCTTCAAGCAGTGACAAGAGCATCACTACCATGTCCTTTAGCAGATCTAGCAGTTCTTTAAGCAACTCAATCTGAGCAGAGTCCTGTAAAAGAATGGAGTAAAAGGTTAGGTTTTCTTTGTATTTATCTGGAAAATTAAATACATTTGGAAAAAAAACCAGTATGCAGGATGGTCATCTAAATGTATTTCACATTCTTCAGCAACAATTCATTGTCATTTTATTATAACTACTATCAGTAATCTTATACAATACGTGGGCAACTTACTACAGCAGAGGTATTAATACCATCATGATAAGCTTTAATAAAGCATTAAGCAGTACTGAAGTGCAGGTAAAGGGTAGCAAAAACTCACAAAATTGGTTACTGGCAGAATTCATCTCAGAAAGAATCTATCCTTTCTGACTTCACAGGGAATATTTAATGGCATAATGCATTACCACTCAAACAGAACTAGAACTGTTTAGATTAACTACAGAACGCGGTAAGTCTAACATGGGTTTGTGACTAACATTAAAGACCTAAAAGCTGTTACAAATCCTCAAGATTCTGATGTGGGAAGAAATCTTGTGAGTAACTTAGAGGATAGCAGAGGCAGTGAATAAGAGTGAGGAAATTGCTCTGCACTGTTGCATTCAGTGCCTGGTGGCTTGAGGGTATGGGTGCATTAAGCAGAAGTCACAAAAGAACATGGAAGCGTGAAACTGTGAAGTGGGGTGAGGCTTCACAATGCCCTGGACAGTGAAATGAACTCTGCCTGCTGCCCTCCTGCTTAGTGCCTCTGCTGAATTAACTGGACAAGTTGACTGACTGTCACATTCCCTCCCTCTTTGAATCTTTCCCAGCTTTTCTCTTGCTCTACTTAGCTGTAGCATGGAAACCATGCTTTTAATGGTGCTTCTGCTCTGACAGATCATCAGGTTTTGGCAATGTAGAGGAAAGGACCAAACCGCTACCTTCATTATCAGAAAGGTAAACTGGAGTTGGAAGCAGTGAGTTTGATATTAGAAGAGGTGAGCACACAGTGATGATTAATGCTAAGAGGAGTGATACAAAGATGCCAGTCCTGAGATTCAGTCTTGTACCTTTACATTACAATAGGCCCATGCACAACCAATGAGTATCAGCACATTAACTGCTTTACAGCTTTCAACATTCACTTGACTGTAATTTACAAACATAGGCAAAGAAGAAAACGTACTTGACTATTGAAAATACCTGTGAAAGTTTCATCTGCATATTGGCAAAGACATGAAGAAAGCCAACAACTGCATCCCACAGCCTACTATGAGCCAGACTCTGTTGGTTACCTATGCAAGGGCCCTAAAGAAGTTAAGAAAAAAACCCCATTTTTTATTTATAGAAAACAAACAAACAAAAAAACAAATAAAATTATTTGCTTTCGTAAGATTTCTCCCTGAAAAAAAATTTAAAAAGCAATTTCAGGCTTCCATCAATCTACATAAGGAAGCTTCCCAGGGTCTCTTTAGTATTGTATCATGTTAAGTGTACAGACATTCGCATGTCTTACTATTAGTTATACCGGGCCAGTGATTCCATGAAGTTACATGCTAAAGTTATAGCAAAACTAAGGAAAATAAAGCCGAAATATGTACATATTTATGATAGGACATAGAACCTCACTGTTAGTACCCTGAGCAAAATATTTTGTTTACCTGGATATATTCTGTAAGGGAATTGAATATCTGTTTGGTGACAGCCAAAGCTTTAGAGAAGTTACGTTGTCCTGATTCATCAATGACATCCTTTCCTGAATAGTACCAGTAGAAGTCACTGATTGATTCCTAAGAAAAAAACAGCAATGTCATGTTTTCCAATTTTGGACTCTGTATGCAGTATTTACTGCCTGCATTTGCATCACCAAAAGTTGATTCAGTAGCAGATGAAATCTGGTATTTCTGTGTCTATCTATTTCTCATGATATTAACTTTTTGCATTTTTATCCAACTGCGCCCCCTTGAAAACCGAACAATGAAATAAATTAATAAACATCTATTTTCACACAGAATTTTGAAAAGTCATCTATTTTAAAAAGAAAGAAGAGATGAAGTAAATTAAATCAGAATTCTTTATTGTAGATATTCCTGAAGAGAGGAATTTTATATTTTATTCCAGTAAAATGTGAATTTGTAAAAATGAAGGAAAGGTACATATGTTGCACTGCATTTTCTTCTGTTTTTTTCCTCACCTGAAGACGCAAGAGATAGTCAACTGTACTAATGATAATATTCACTGTTGTCGTGTTGCCCATCTGAGTACGCAGGTAATTTTGAAAATCTGTAATAAGAAGTGATTTATGCTTCATTGATATGCATAGGAATAAAAAATACAATGTTACTCTCACATTTTCATGAAGACATGGAGAATACATTCTTTTTAGGTACCTTGTTGGATACAGATGTTTACGTGGTGGAAACTGAACTACAGTAGATGACAATGTAAATACAGCCAAGGAAATGTTATCCACATCACTTGCAATAGGCTTTACTATTAAAAAGTTGCATAAAACTGAAATTACATTCAGACCTAAAAGTTCTTAGTTTCCCCTCAGAAAACTAAGTGAATTAGAGGAAAAAACCCATTAGAATCCATTCAACTCTGTTTAAGAACAGACTGATCACACATTTTCCCCAAAATTAAGTCAATTCACTTACCATTGTTGTGTCCTTCACAGAGCAGTTGTAAAAATCTAAATAGATCTCGAGTAAATTCATCATGCTGCAATACTTTTTCACCTTTAAAATATATAAATACAATGATTATGTGACAACCATTATGATTAAATATGCAGAACACATAAACTTAACAGCAACCTTTAAAAGTAGAATTCTAATAAAAAACAGTATTATAAAAGCATTAAAGCAATTTAAAAGAAACAGACTGATAATAATGAAAAGAACAACTGAGACAGGAAAAGCAAAGCCAAAATATTTAGCACTCCAATGCATCTATGGTTAAAAAACAAAACAAAACAAAACAAAACGAAACAGAAACCAAAACCCAAGAAAAACAAGAAAGCAATAGGATATATATCTAATAAGTAAATGGTTAGTAGTAACTAAAATCATGCCTTAAACATGAATGACAGTTCTTTAATAAGCATCAAACTGTTTATCCAAGCTGAACACACAACCTGCTGCAGACCATAAAGCTAAACCTAAAAATATCTAGTAAGATGCAATGAAAGATTTCTCTCCGTATTTGCAACACAGTTTTGCAACAATAGTATCGAAAACTGTAAACCCAAACATACCACGCTCACGAACGATGACTGTGGATCAAAGAAAAATAACAAGAATACAGGATAAGAATATTGGAAGTTACAATGATTTTCTTTAAAATTACTGCTAAAGATTTTTTAAATATAAAGTATAATCAGAACTCAAAACCTAGAATTACTTGTAGTAAGTTTATCGACAGAAACCTCAAGCCACAGTAAATAATAGTTCTAGTTAAAGAAGGAAGCACAGATAATGTTTTAAGCACTACTGAAATAAATTTCATTCTACTTACGAGTTCCTTCTTCAGTAACCATTCCCAGGCCTTCTGCTTTATTTTGCCTCTCAAATGCATTCAAGTCAAGAACACTTATATTGGAAAAAAAAAAAACAAACAGGAAAAAGTACTATAGTACACAATAGAAAATTATTTTCTTCTAGAAAATCTCTGGAGGCCTTCAACAACTAGTCTTCACAGAATCACAGAATGACAGAACTTTAGGGATTGGAAGGGACCTCAAAAGATCATCCAGTCCAATCCCCCTGCTGGAGCAGGAACACCCAGATGAGGTTACACAGGAAGGCGTCCAGGCGGGTTTTGAATGTCTCCAGAGAAGGAGACTCCACAACCTCTCTGGGCAGCCTGGTCCAGTGCTCTGTCACCCTCACTGAGAAGAAGTTTCTTCTCAAATTTAAGTGGAACCTCCTGTGTTCCAGCTTGTGTCCGTTACCCTTTGTCTTATCATTGTTTGTCACCGAGAAGAGCCTGGCTCCATCCTCGTGACACTCACTCTTTAAATATTTCTAAACATGAATGAGGTCTCCCCTCAGTCTCCTCTTCTGCAAACTAAAGAGACCCAGCTCCCTCAGCCGCTCCTCATAAGGGAGATGCTCCACTCCCTTGATCATCTTTGTAGCCCTACGCTGGACTCTCTCCAGCAGTTCCCTGTCCTTCTTGAACTGAGGGGCCCAGAACTGGACACAATATTCCAGATGCGGTCTCACCAGGGCAGAGTAGAGGGGGAGGAGAACCTCTCTCGACCTACTAACCACCTCCCTCCTGATACACCCCAGGATGCCATTGGCCTTCTTGGCCACAAGGGCACAGTGTCTTAACCCACTGTAACATGCATTGCCTCCTATTTTATTTAATATGAATATTAAAAAAAAAAGCTTGGGATGAAAATAAGGGTCCAGTGTCCAGGCCATGTCTCATCACTTACCTAACTTCACTTCCAGTAATGTCATTCATGGTTCCATGTATAAATGAAAAGTGGAAAAGGAACCTGAAATATTACTCTTTATATTGACTTAAACCTGCCTGCCAAAAGGACACTATTGCAGTTATTTCTCAGTCAAACTGTTTTCCACTAGGTTATCACTATTATTTCTACTATATTGTTACTGTACATATTATGCATTATTATGTTATTCAGAACACATACGGAATCTCTGATTCCATATTCAGAAGTCATATATGGAATCAGAGCAGTCAAAATACATTGATATCTGAATTTTCTTTTGCTAACTTGGCATAGCCCAGCATGTGGAATAGCAGATGATTATTCTCATCACCCATTCACGATGCTTTCATTCAAACAGTCCAAATATAATTCTATGATTATTTTTTCCAATTAAACAGCAATGAAGTCACAAATTCTACTATCTAGCAACATCATTAAAACGAAAAGCCATTTTTAAAGAATAATTTTCATTCTCTTGCCAGTGTTCAAGTCATTTTATCAAAACCTTTTTTAATGAAGTCCTGACTGATGTGCATACACAGTTGGTAATGTCATCATGCAGGTCATGTTTGAGCAAATCCTTGCTAAATTGTTCTACATAAATGGAAAAATCACAAGATAGATGTTATTAATTAGACTGCAAATAGTCAATGATAAATTCTGCAGAGGAGGTCTCCATTCCTTCCACATTTTTTTCCTGTCTTCATACAGCTTCTCCACTTCTAGTCTACTCCTTCACAACCCTTCTGTTGCTGTGAAAGGTAGAGAACAGGAGGTGTCTACTGTAAGCGTAATCAGAAACACCAACAGATTTTCATCTTCTTTATGGGAGTCCTTTACCTTAACTGTTTTGAACTTCTGGTTTATCAAGGGAATGGACTACTATAGTCTCACCAGCCACATGCCATCTCTAATAAACCTGATACATATGCCGAGGATTCAGATGAACAGACAGAGGTTATGTAACTCGTCAGAGATGTGCAGAAACTGAGAGCTTAGTAAAGGTCCACTGGCCTGCATCTCCTTCAGTGATGGCTTTTCTCCATCCTTAGAACCACCCAGACAGAAAGCTTGATGGATCTGAGACCAGTAAAGGAGCCATTACATTTTACTTCTCTGCCTCTCCAAACTAAGCCTTCAAAGGCATACTTTGCTTTATTTTTTCCTTTGGAATACTCTGAAAGATTAACACACCACGTGTCTGATCCACAAAAATTTCCCACAAGAGTTCTACAATCTGTGACTCCTGTAATTTAAATCTAACAAATCCACCTGCACTAAGCAATAAGCCACCAACCTGAATAAAGCTGAATCTGTAGTAATATAATTTATGCTTTTACCTGCAGGACTGCATCAAGCCAGAGAGACTTTGAAAAAATCCAGCATCTTTTTTCTCCTTCAGGTAGTCTAGCATTTTCTAAAGGGTATACATTTGCAGAGGGGAAAAAAAAATCTATATTAAAATTATATGAACTAACAACTTCCTGAACTACAACTCAAATTACAAATCACTGACAAGCAATAATATAATTGTTATTGTACCAAAAATATCCTGATATTTCTTCATTATTTAGCTTAAAATTAAGTGCACTAAAATAAAACCACAACAGAACTTCACTAAAGTTCACAGAATTACTTGCCTCCTTTATACAAGCAAGACTCACAGTAGTTAGAAATGTCTTACCTGTTGTACTATGGTATTCCCACCATTTAGAATAGCAATACCAAGTTTTAGTGTTTCAACAACCATGGGTCCTGTATGTCCTGTCAAAACAAAGATACAGTCATTAAAACTTGCAGTTAAGAACTATTCAATCAGAAAAGCAGTCTGGAAATTTTACCTAGTATAGTTGTTATCAACATTTATTTTGCATCATATACACCATATACAAGTTGTATATGATATATGTCTGTTAGGTATGAAGGCATAATACACTATAGATATACGTATAGCTTTATACCTATGATATGTATATCATGTATACTTTTAATACCTCACAAGACATTACCTTTGCTTGCACTAATCATCTGAAGGACCATCTCCGCAGCTCCACGATCATGTAAGCGAGCTTGCTGATAGAGAGTTCTCTGCTTTTCCATTTCTTTCTCCTGGGTTTGGGAACAAAAATGAGAACTGAATACAGACTGGAACTGATTCAGGAAAAATAGGAAGATGAGAAATCTGAAGTTGTTGAAGGCCATCTGCCTCAATAATTCATTGGTTGGTTGATTTCAAAACTTCAGAACACACCTAGATTACATGAATTCATTTTACATGAATAATCTAGTAAATCAGCTCTATACACACTGTGTTATTCTTGCAGTTATTTTAGTGGACATATTTAAAATAAATTGCACATTAGGCAATGAAAAAGAAATGTTATTTAAACTCTCACCTCAAATGTCTTTTCTTTTTCTTCTTCTTCTTCTTCCTCTTCTTCTTCCTCCTGACAGCTCTTTTTATGTTAGAAACAGAAATCACAAGATTTTGCTTATTACAAAACATAATGCTTATTTTTACTATAGTATTTCCACAAAAATGACCAAAGAAATTTTATCAATCAATATTTAGAATCATAGAATAGAATCATGGAATGTGTTGGATTGGAAGGGACATTTAAAGCTCATGCAGTAAGCAGGGGCAATGTTACCAGATCAGGTTGCTCAGGGCCCCATCAAGCCTGACCTTGCATATCTCCAGGGATGGGGCCTGCACCACCTCTCTGGGCAACCTGTTCCAGTGATCTACTACCCTCATGTTGAAGAACCTTTTCTTAATATCCAACCTAAATCTACCCTTTTCTAGTTTAAAACCATTACCCCTTGTCCTGTCGCTACATGCCCTAGTGAACAGCTCTTCCCCAGGTTTCTTATAGGCACCTTTCAGGTATTGGATTAAAGGCACTAGATTTAAAGGCATTAAGAAGATTTAAAAGTCCTATAATCATAAATATATGTGCACACTATTAAGCTGATATTCCCTAACGTATGAGTACTTCAGGGTATTCACCCAACCATGTAACTGCAGACTATATGTCCTTGTGTAATATGGTGGAATGAATCCCACAACTGGAGTGCTGCCATAGATGGGTATAAGCTCTTCAGAAGGAATAGGCAAGGAAAGAAAGGTGGTGGGGTGGCCATGTATGTGCTATGACTGCCTAGAGATTAGTGATAGTGACAACAGGGTCAAGTGCCTATGGGTGAGAATCAAGGGGAAGGCCAACAAGTCAGATATCATGGTGGGAGTTTGTTATAGACCACCTAACCAGGATGAAGAGATAGATAAAATATTCCATAGGAAGCTGGGAGAAGCTTCGCGCTTGCTTCTCCTTGTCCTTGTAGGGGACTTCAACTTCCCAGATATCTGCTGGAAATATAACACAGCAGAGAGGGAACAGTCCTGGAGGTTCCTGGAGTGTGTGGAAGACAACTTCCTGACACAGCTGGTGAAGGAACCCACAAGGGAAGATGTCCTGCTGGACCTGCTGCAAACAGAGAAGGTCTTGTGGGGGATGTGATGGTTGGAGGCTGTCATGATGGAGTTTTCAGTCCTTGGAGAAGCAAGGAGGGGGGCGAGCAGAACTGCCACTTTGGACTTCTGGCAGGCAGACGTTGGCCTGTTTAGGGACTTGGTTGGCAGAGTTCCTTGGAAAGCAGTTCTGAAAGGCAAAGGAGTCCAGGAAGGCTGGACACTCTTCAAGAAGGAATTCTTACAGGTGCAGGAACAGGCCCTCCCCATGTGTCGGAAAACGAGCCAGCGGGGAAGAAGCCCAGCCTGGCTGAACAGAGAGCTCTGGCTGGAGCTCAGGAAAAAGAAGAGAGTTTATGGTCTTTAACATATTTAAATCCCCTGGATGAGGGGATTGAGTGCTTCCTCAGCA